GATTCAAATGAACAAATCTGTATGTGGGCAACTGAAAGATGACTTCATTTTAGAGAAACACAGCAACCTCAGAAAATATGCATGAGAGAAATGCACAAAAAAACCAAAAACATTTACCAAGCTTAGAGTTTATAATGGAAAATTATTGATCTGTAGGGTGGAATATGAATGATTAACACCAAATTTGGGAAAAAATTTTTGTATGTATGCTTGAGAATTATCCCTCCTCTCCGCCCCAATAAACTAATATCTGCAGCCAGTATGAATTTTATTACATCCTTATTAAATGCTTCTTTGCCTTTTAACATGCTGTGCTGTCAATCTGCCATGCATTTTACTGCTCATGTTTGAGTCATGTGATTATTTAATAACAGTTTTCAAAATATATGAAGGGTGACAGAGGTTGACAGTTACTTGGATTTTTCTCAGAAATGTTAACAAATAGCTATCTCAGAAGGCTTAAAATGAATAACTCCCTCTCCTCCACAATAGAACTAAATAAATAACTTCAGTGCTCTACAAATAAAGCTTAGCCCAACGTGGTCATTGTTAGTCAATGACCAACCATTCAATAGGTCAGAAAAGTTTCCACATACTCCTAAATATGGTGTTCCAGCTTAGTAGATTTAAATATTAACTTATAGGGAATTTGACTCCCCATTACTGATTATTGGCTATTTTGCAAAAGAAGTAAACAAAATATAGGTTCTAAAACCTAGGAGTCCATAGCCCTAAGGCTCTTATGACAATAGTACTTTAATTTTATTTTTTTGTGAAATTTCAAAGGGTACTACTGCCTATTTGGAAAAGTAATGAAGTCTCAGTAATATGAGTTCTCCTATTAACATTTTGGCTATCCAGTCTTTGCTGGGAAATGGAGTAAGACCGTCGGGAATTTGGTAAGAATGAGAAGATCTGTCTACAAGCAAAGGATAATTAGGTTGGACCACTTTTCAGTGATAATACATGCTGGTTGTCTTTTCATGGGAAAATCTGGCAGTAGGCTCAGGAATATGCATTTGGATTTCTGCCCCTTCTAACATGGTCTAGGTGGCAGATTTAGAAATTCTTCAGCAACTAAGAAGATTGTACTGGGATTTTTGTAATGTCAGAATTACAGTTTACTAATAGGACTATCCTCAGGTTTTTTTTTTATTTGGTGGTGGTGGGGTGGAGGAAATCTGAAACTGATTTCACTGGTGTGAAAATTCTCTCTACTAATGCAAGCCAGCAACATCTGGGTAACTTATAGTGTTTAGAGAGTCACTGAGTGCTCTGAGAGAGTAAGTGACCTGCCCAGAGTCACATAACTACATGGATCAGAGACAGGACTCCATCTCAAGACATACTGTTTCCAAGTCCAGGACTTCAAACACTATTCCAAGATCCTCTCTGTCCTGCTCAGTCAGGGAGGAATGTCTGGTAGTATTTCTTCCTTAATCTCAATGTGTTCTGGTGAGGAAAAATCTGACCTTGTCTGTACATAATAACTGGGCAGCTAGGAGATTTCCCTACAGTGGTCAACAGAATTATAGAGGCTCTTCATCTGTGGCAAATAATATATTTTTTGGCTTTTATATTCTGGTAGTATGATATGATGTGCATGACAAAAACTAATATTAAATAAATGCATTTAAATATATCTATAGTGATAGTGGTGGCTTTTACATTTTTTAGTAATAACTAACACTAGGGAAAAGAACATCCACTCTGCCTTCACTGTTATATACTCAAGGATGTGTGCAAAGATGGGTTGCTATGGAGACTCATTAAAAGCCCTACTACTTTTAGAGTGATGAAAATTTGTTTCTCATTCTCTTTCAGGGTTGAAAACTCTATTCACTTCCTTTTTTATCCCCTCAAATGCTGACACTATATAAACTTATGAGGGAAAATATAGTGAAAAAAAGCATTGAATTTGAAATCTGGAAGCCTGTGACATATTATCAGACCTATAACTAACTAATTGCATGAGTTTTTGCAGAGCACTTCATGGGGACTCAGTTCCTCTATCAGATGAGGGTTGAATTAGATATCTAGGGTTCTACTGGGCAGCTAAGGGGTGCAGTGGATAGAGTGCTGCTGGCCCTGGAGTTAGGAAGATCTAAGTTCAAATCTGGCCTCAGACACTTACTAGCTGTGTGACTCTGAGCAAGTCACTCAACCCTCTTTAACTCAGTTTCCTCATCTATTAAATGGGCTGGAGAAGAAAGTGGCAAACCACTCCAGTATCTTTGTCAAGAAAACCCCAAATAGGGACACGAAGAGTCAGACACGACTGAATGACAACAAGGTTCTACTGATTTTTTTTTAAAGGCAGTTGGGGTTAAGTGACTTGACCAGGGTCACACAGCTAGTAAGTATCAAGTGTTTGGTCTGAGACTGGATTTGAACTCAGGTACTCCTGACTTCAGGGCTGGTGCTCTATTCACTGCGCCACCTAGGCTCTACTGATTCAACAGCCCTGACTGTGAAATGGTAGATCAATTCTTTCAAATCCCATCACTTTAAGCTTTGCATTGTCTCTTCCTTTCCTTTCTCCAACCATCACCGTCACTTTAGTTGAGGCCCTTTCCACTTCATCTATAGATTACTGTAATAACTTAGGACTCGTTTTTCTAGAATCTAAATCTTGCTTCTTATATCCATCTGCAAACAACTGGCAGGATTATCTATGATTTTGTCATTTCCCTTCAAAAAAACAAACAAAAACTTTTTTACTTGCTCCTTATTGCTTACAGAAGTCCAAATTTCTCAGCCTTGTCCCTCCTTTTCCAGCCTTATTTCCCATGACTCCCATATAAGGAAGATGCTCCACTTAAACTGATGTTATTTAAATATGCACTATGCATTCCTGCTTCTGGTCCTTAATTTATACTATTTCTTCTGCCTGGAATATCTTCCTTCCCTTACTTGAAAAGTCTCCCTTTCCTTTAAGTCCAGGTCAGAAATCTCTTCTTCTTCCTCATGGTGCCTTCCTTGACCAGCCCAGAGGGGAGACAGCTCGTCTTCCTCTGCTTACTTACAGAACTTAGCATATGCCTTGTATTACAGCTTTAGTGAATGTGTCTTTTTCCTTCTACTAGATTGCAAGCTCTCTATGAACAGGTTCTGTATCTTGTACAACTTTGTCTCTCCCAGGTACCTTGCACAGAGTTGATATCTGATGAATTAAAATGGAATAATATCTCAGCATGGTCTTCCTCACTTCTTGCTGATAATATATTATTCTGATGTTTTCCATAAGTTTAAATCAGGGGTGGGAAACCTGTAGCCTCGAGGCCACATGTGGCCCTCTAGGTCCTCAAGAAGTTTGGATTCGGTCAAAGGGCCACACTTGAGACCACATGTGGCCTCAAGGCTGCAGGTTCCCCACCCCTGGTTTAAATCGACAGAACCTAATGGCCAATAAATACTGCTGATGCCTCCTCAGATTTACATGGGCACTGACTTAGCTTTGGCTTAATTTTTTAGTATGTGTCATATTTAAGACAGAGCCACCTATATAGCTAGCTACAGTTAGTATAGCAACTTTTGACCCACCTACTCTGGGGAACCCTGCTCAGGGATTTTTTGTCCCTTTGGAATTTCCATGCTTTGAAATTATAATGATCAAATATCACAGCTTCAAATTTTGGGTGGGTAATTATGGTCATGTTCAAAAAGAGGGGTTCAATTAAATAAGTATAGCTAGCCTGGCTAGAATACACATTTATGCATGGAATACAGCATGAATTTGCTTGAAATATCTGATCTATTACTATAAGTTTGTGCTGACTGTATTATTATTCTTCAGTGGTGGTTGTGAGTGAGAGCTATGCTGGCTAAAATGACTGTCCCAAATGAGTGCAATTAAATCCAGGGGATAGTGATGCTACAGCATATTTGATTTATATCAGACCATAAGACGAAAATAATGATGACCTGACAGGTAATTTTTTCTAATTTACTTTTCCTGCTCACCAAGAAAGAACCTTTTAAGTTGCTCAAGAAAGAAAGATTATCTACAATTCTAGTTCTCTGAAGACAGAACTATACTTACCCATACTCCATATTTGTTGGCTTTTAGAACTCTCCAAGTAGTGTATTAATAGTTTAGAACTGTTTCTATTACTTATTTAATTGAAATGATCATTACTGCATCTACTATGCCCAGGGTCTCAGTAAGTTCTGACTTCTTAATAAACACAGTCATTCTTATATCAAGCCTGATAAAGCTTGTCTCATTCATTTGTCCATAGCCTGAATTGCCTTATTCCTCATGACTCCTCCCATCAAATAACCTTTTGGAATTTATAACTAGGATTGTTTTTATAAAAAAAAAATGAATAGGTCTAACAGATACTTCTAAACAATGTTAACAGTTTCCACTCCAGTTTTGGGAGGCTAGGAAGAGGTAATAGATTAGATTTTGGTGATACTTCTTACTTTCCTCTTAAGATTTTGAATGAAATCTGCATCCCATAACAACAATGCCATAAGGGGAACATTTGGTTTGGTTTAACCAAATGTACTAACTGAATGTCTGATACCAGACAAGTCATGAAATTTACCAATCTCTTAGTTTCTCTAACTGTTGAATGTCAAAATGACAATGCCATGCCACAGCTATTATGAGTTGCTGTGGAGATTAACAAGAGGAAAAATCCTTTTAGATCTTCAGGAGGACACACATATGATTTTAAAAAGTGTTAGATTTTATACAAAAGGGGAATGGTATACTGCCATCATTTTCATTTAGGAGCCATTATTCCTAATTTACCTTGCCATTTTTGCACTAAAAACGCTCAATTTCAAATATCAAATGATTCCAACTTTCTTTATGACAGTCACCACAACCATGGAAAAATAATATGACAGGAATAGTCACACTTAAAGATGGTGACAAGCTATCCTATTACAGAGGAAGAAAAGACAGTTTTCCAGAAAGCTCCAATCAAATTAAATAGATAGTAATAAAGAAGAAATATTAGAAGTTATTGCCTTTTGTCTGGCCTTACCTGAACCATTTTTCAGATATCCATTTGCATCTACAGTTGTGTACATGATATAAGGTCCAGGCTGATTCACTCCAAAGGGCTGTAAGAAAAAAAGGAATATCCTAAGTCTCAGAAAGTAAGGAAATACGTGAACTTCATTCAACTTGACAACCATAATTAAAATAATTTTGATGAAAATAAAATAGCCAAAAAGAGCTTTAAGTCACTTAAGAAAGCTACTAGAAATTGATAAAACTTTAAAACTTTTTATTAGTAGGAAAATATTAATGCTTTAAGTTACTTATGGTTCAATCTTTGAAGTTCAATGAACTAGTCATTAGTAAAAGCTAATTATGCTGCTGGTGGAGATAATTCTATAGTCTATGCAAAAAAGTGGGCATATGTATTTCAAGCTAAATTTGCTATCACACTGTTGGTCCAACATAGAATAAAACCCACAACAGTGTGATTAATGACATTTATTTTCTGTTAAATGCAGCATTAATTCTCTTTTTGTGGGGTTGCAGGGGCTGTTTCAGCAGAGATGACTTTCTTCCATTAAAATATCGAAATAAACAAAATCCATTCATGCTAATTAGAAAAGGAAAAGATTTGCTATTAGTTCCAGCACATTTGAAATCCCGGACTTAGAAACAAGTATTATCATTCTGCAGCTTAGGCAAATCTGATAAGGCCAAGAAGGGATATGGAAAAGCAGTGAGATGAGGTCCAACTAGTGCATCAGTTCCCATTCTTGAACCACTCCTGACATGAATTAGATAACAAAATTTCTTCTATCTATAGAAAAGGTCTAATTAAATAGGACATCTGGGATTTGAATTTCATGGGGAGAATTGCGAGAAAAATCCAAGCAGCAATTTAGAATGTAGAAAATTTTTTACTTCATAGAGTCAGAAATCCCTCTTCCCTGTCCCAATTATGGCAAGCAACATGATGACCAAGACTAACCACTCACTGCTCCCCTTATCATTTGTCATTGGAGAATCTGATGTTTTGCCAAAATAAAATCACCTCTTTGGGTGATATTCAAGAAAGAGTCCAGCTAGATAGATGTTACAGTACCTTATCTGACACTGTAAGAACTTTGGGAATCAATACATTCTTCAAAGATAGTGGTGGAGAGGTAGGGGAAAGAAAGGCTAAAATGAAAAATTATACTATGCATAATAACAGTAGTAATGGACAGACAGACACTGAGCTGGGTACTGGATTAAAAAGGATAAGAAGATTGAGCTGGATTACATCTGGAAAATTTTGCAATGCTTTAATGATCCAAAGGTGTTCCCTACCACAAAAATTCATTTTTAAACAGCAATATTTTCTTAGTGATGTTATGATTGTTAATAATGAAATACCATGATCTCAGAAGAATCAAAATAGTAGGTAACTCAAAGGGCAATGAGAAGATTCAGAGTAAATGTAAGCAGATGAATCACCTGACTAATAACTTCAGTGAAAGACACTGGATAAAAGACATCATCAAGGTTATGTAACTAGGCATGAAATAAGACTGATGAGTAGGCAGCCTGAATGTTGTACTGGAATGCACAATATATTAAAGGGCTTAGAAGAAGGTCTCCAAGATTTGGGATAGATTATTTGTGGAGGATTTACAAAAAGGCATTTGCAATAATTGTACAGGTTTCAATTGGTTGTTCTCTATACCAGTAGAGGAAGTACACAGGGATGCACTGAATTAAATAATGAAATAATAACGATAACTTAAATTTACCTATCACCTTGAGATTTACAAAGTGCTTTTTCACAGTAATAGAGGACTAACTGTAATTAATAAATCTCAAGACACCTGTATTATGGTCCTAGCTCTGGCTTCAATTTTTTTATGTATATTTTTTTAAAATGAGGGGCTGGAACTAAACGATTTTAAAAGATCTGTGATTCCAGGGGTTGACTTGGAAAGAACACTTGATAACTAATACAAAAATAGTTTTAAAAGGACTATTTTGATGTGGGAAGAAGAAAAATACTTAATTAGCATATTTTATAAAAGGATTATAAAATCAAGCTACTTTTCTTGAACATTAAGGTATATAATTATTGCTTCAGTTGTCAAAAATTTTAAAAAACCAGTGACATAGATTAGTGATATGTAGGAAACTCATGGTGTATATGTGTGTGTGTGTGTGTGTATATATATATATATATATATATATATATATGTATATGTAACATATATGTATGTGCATGTATATATATCTATAGAGATATGATTGGATCTCAGAAATCAAGTCACCAAGTGCTTAAGTAAACTTTTAAAATAAGTATGTACAATATGCTAGTTCTAATGAAATACTGTAAAAACAATTGTTTCCATATTATCATCACACTTAAAATCAAAAGCCTAGGCTAATACTTCTACTTTTCATGCTAAACATGTAGAGGAACAGGGACAAAGACTGGACCTATGATTTCAATAATACAGGAAATTCTCTGCTGAGTAAATTCCCTCTACCAATATAGATTAGTATTTTGAATGAATTATAAAGCATTTTTTAAACTCTTACTATGTGTCAGATGGGGCAGGTTAGGTGGTGCAGTGTATAGGGCACCAGGATTGAAGTCAGGAAGACCTGAGTTCAAATCCAGTCTCAGACACTTACTAGCTATGTGGGCTGGGGCAAGTCACTTCACCCCTATTTGCCTCAGTTTCTCAACTATAAAATGGGGACACACTGGAGAAGGAAATAGCAAGTTACTGTAGTATTTTTGCCAAGAAAACCCTATGGATAAAAGTCCATGGAGGTCACATAAGTTGGACAAGACTGAAGGTCAACAACATGTTGGGTACGGGGCTAAATGCCAGTAATGAAATGCAAGTGAGACAGTCTCTGCTCTCTGGTAGTTTCTATGAGAAGGGGGGAGATTGTTGTGGTTGTAGTCCTTTCAGTCTAACTCTTTGTGACCCCATTTGGGGTTTTCTTGGCAGAGATACTGGAGTGGTTTTCCATTTCCTTCTGCAGCTCATTTTACAGATGAAGAAACTGAGGCAAATAGGGTTAAGTGACTTGCCCAGGGTCACGCAGCTAGTAAGTGTCTGAGGCCAGATTTGAACTTAGGAAGAGTAGTATCCTGGACTTCAGGCCCAGCACTTTATCCACCATAAAGAGGAGCTTGAAGGGGAAGGGGTACACATATTGGCATGGTCTGGAAATGACTGAGGTATGATCTGGAGGTCTGATTTTAGGAAGGATGAAGTCAAAGTTCTCTGTCAGGGCAGAGTTCAGCTTCTAGTGCAAGGGGGATGAGAAGAAAAGCCAGAGTACAGAAGGCATGGTTTGGAAATGGATGGAATTTATGGTCTTAGAGACTACAAATACATATCACAATTAAAATAAGTTCTATCTACATCCTTCAGCAAACATGTCATAATTATAAAGTTCTATTAGTAGTTTATTCAATTTTTCAATGTTACTTCATTTATGTATAGTAAAATAACTGCCCTCCCATGATTATTTTGTTTCCTGTACTATGCTATGAGAAAAGCTGTGTTCTTTGGCTCTTTTCCAATCACAAAGTTCTAGAAACTGGCACTCTGAAATACTTTGCTACAAACACCTAATCTAGCAACTAGCACTGCTAACAGGATATGTGGTGTATCCACTATTGGAAACAGAGCAGCTGAATACATCCAACAGTATTCATTTGGGGTTTGGCTGTTAAGGTTTGCTCTGTAAGGTTTGTTTTTTGGGGGCAGGGGTGGGTTCTTTTTTTAGATTTTTGACCCATAGAACTATATTAAACTATGTTTTCCTTTCCTTTAGAAGTCTCATGAAAGTAAAGAGAACTGGGATACTCCCTGGGGTAACATGAATTGACTTTTAATTAACTAAATTTGGCCAATCTGTAATCTTTAGTTTCCTAAAGCATGAGATAACAAAGCTTTTATTGTAGTTTGTTCCAAATGCAAATGGTGTCACTTTGGCTGAATTAAAATTCATAGCAAGGTCATTTTGGAAAGCACTTCTAAAGTTCTTGCCATCGGTTCTGTGGCAGCGTAGGATTTGACAATGGCAAGCCTCTCCACCACATGGCAAAAGTTACCTACCATATCATAAGGTTCACTCATATTACGTCTACTAAAATCAATTAAGAAGCATTTATCAAACACTTACCATTTGCCAGTCACTGTGCTAAGTGCTGGGGATTAAGAAAAACAAACCCCAAACCAATCCTTGCCCTCCAAGAGTCCCCATTCTTGACTTCTTTGCCTCATGCAATTCCAGTCAAATTGCTAAGTTTGGTTAATTCTACCTTTATAACATCATCTGATTCTATCCCCTTTCTCTTCACCCATGGCCTCAGGCCCTTCATCATCTCCACTTGGACTACTGCAACAGCCTCCTAATTGGTCTCACTGCCTCAGGTATCTTATCTCCTCTCCCTGTGTTGTAGAATGTATTCCTATTCATCCTGAACAATCTGCTAAACTAATATTCTATAAGCAATGTTATGACTACGTTGCACCCCTACTCTATCAATTCTGGTGGCTCGATTGCTAGGGACTCCCTGGGACAGAAGCTCTTCATCTTGCTTGCGCCATGGACTCCTCTGACAGTCTGGTGAAGCTAATGGAACCCTTCTCAGAATGATGTTTTTTAAGTGCATAAAATACATAGGATTACAAAGGAAACCAAAATATACTGAAAAACAGTCATCGAGGGATTGAAAACAAAAACAAAAACAAAAACAAGTACACAGACCCCAGATTAAGAGCCCTTGCTCTGGGATCAAATACAAATTCCCTGGTGTGGCATTTAAAGCCCTTCATAATCTGGCTTTAGCCCACGTTTCTAGGCTTCAGACACACACACACACACACACACACACACACCCTTCTCTTCATGCACTCTATGATCCAACCAAACTGGCTTAATTGTTGTTTCCTACATAAGACAGTCCATCGCCCACACCTACAGTCTGTCCCCTACAATTGGTGTTCTCTTCCTCATCTTTATTTCTCAGAGTCCCTAACTTTCTTCAAAGCTCAACTGAATTACAACCTCCTATGTGAGACATCTCCTGATGCTCAGCTGTCAGTGGTTCCCCACAAAACTTACC